GTGCCGATGGCTGCCAGGGAAATGAGAACTCAGGACTGTATTGGAAAGACGGTGCCGATGGCTGCCAGGGAAATTAGAACTCAGGACTGTATTGGAGCTGGCAGCCAAAACAGATGCTCTTTGGGTAATTTTGAGGCTCAGGCTGCCTGTGAGTGTTGTCTCACTTGCAGCTGATAAGATCCATGTTCCTTAAGTTCAGTGCGCACTGGAGCTGCTGTGAATGCTTCTCGTCATGTGAGGCCCAGTTGTATGAGGACCTCTGGTGCCTTTTAGTGCAAGGGTCACTGTGAATAATAGGTGTGACATTGTATATGTCTGTAAGATAGTTGAGAGTTACACTATCGTAGAGAGAGGGATATAGATTCCTGAAATGTGAGGGGTTAAAACATAGACATTTAGAACTGATGTGGGAACACTTGAAGTTGCATCTGGTGGTAAGCAGGTGCTTCTGAGCCACGCAGACAATGGAATCTGTACACCTGCTTACTTATTAGATTGTTCTTTCTGGGCATGAGTTTCCTTTTCAAGCAATTTTGCGTGTCAGGATAAGTGAGTACCTGTATAGCCCAGCACCACTAGCGTCCTGCACTTGATTGGGGGATCTGATAATAGTCCCACCCAGCTCATACTGTCTCTTAAATATATTCAACTTTCTCAGAGTATCTACTGGGACAGTGAGGGTGCCTGTGTAAGCCAAGCTTCTGTGTTCCATGCTGGATCCTGGGGCCTAACTGTGTGACACTGGAAAGTCTCCCAGACACCTATCCCTTGTTTGTTGTTATATCAGGTTGTTTCTAAATATAAAACTAGATTTACAAAACTAAATATGAGAGTCTTAGGGTGATTATATTACATAAGTGATTTTAGAAACATAGTAACAACTATATGATCCGTTGTTATTAAATAACCCCCAAAAGGTCTCAAACCCTAAAAGTCTCTTCAACCATTTCCCCAATTACTGAAGCTTTTGCTTCCTAGTTAATGTGTCATCTATTTCATGTTTGTGACTCATACATAATTTATTGTGGTGAATATTAAAATATAATTTTTAAATCACATATATGTATGTATGTATGTATGAATGTATATATGTATATATGTATGTATATATGTGTTTGTGGGGGTCAGGGGCAAGCATGAATATATCACACAGCACTCATGTGAAAGCCAGAGGATAATTTTGGGGAGTCAGTTCTTTTATTCCTTCATGTGGGTGGAAGAGATTAAACTCAGATCTCTAGCCTGGTGACAAGTACCTTCACCTGTTGAGCTATCTTGCTGGCCCCCAAACATAAATTTTACATTCGGTAATGTCATGTCTTAGCTAATTGAACAGAAATTTCTGAGTTGGTAAATCATTTAAATACATATTGTTTGTTGTTGAAAGAAAGCAGACCGTTCTGAGGCTGGAGGGATGACTCAGTGGGTAAGGGTGCTTACTGTCCAAGTCCAGCACCGAGTTCAATCGCAAGGATCCACGTACAGGTAGAAGGAGAGAACTAACTCCACAAAATTGTCACATACCCACAAGTAGGATTTTAAAAGGAAAGAAATACCATCCCGCAATGTCTGTCCTTTGTGTTTGTTTCCAGACTATTCAGAGCTGGGAGAGCTCCCTCCACGCTCCCCTTTGGAACCAGTGTGTGAAGACAGACCATTTGGCCCAGTGCAGGAGGAAAAGAAGAGGAGCTCCCGGGAGCTCCGAGAACTGTGGAAAAAGGCCATCTTGCAACAGATCCTGCTGCTCAGGATGGAGAAGGAGAATCAGAAGCTACAAGGTTGGTTTGGAGAGTGAAGCTGAACAAAACTGATGCTCTTACTTAATTCTTGCACACAGGATACAGTCTTTAAAACAACCGGCAAGGTGCCCTCACATATGTTTATGCCTGTCCTATCTGTTTACTTTTTCAAAGTAATAGTGACACCTTTTACTTCCCAGACATTTAAGTGAGTCTCACCGTCTGTCACATGTTACTGTGTAGGATGAGAAGCATCATATCTAGTACTTCTGAAATATAAGCTGCCATGTAAGCTCTAACTCTCAGAAGCAGTTTTTATTGGCTGCTGGCTGGTTGGTTGGTTGGTTTTGTTGTGGTGGCAGGTTTATGGGTTTGTTTGTTTTTTGTTTTGTTTTGTTTTGTTTTTCATTTTATCCCCAACCATAATTTCTGCCTGGGTAGTGAGAATAGACTGATCCTGTATGAATCCTTAAGATGTATAATTCCATCTTGTGTGGCTGTTCAGTGAGTTCCTGGGTATCACCATTATCAAAATGACAGGAACTTGGGACGTTTAGATTTTTCTAAACCACTGATTTGAAGTCCTAAAGATTCTGAGTGGGAAGTCTGAGTCCACCCTCCCAAAGGGAGGCTAAGCTATAGCAGGAGGCTCACTCATGGTGCCATTCCTTAACACAGTTTTGGAATTAGTGTGTTTCATTGAGCATTATGCTTGGTCATAGGTGTTTGTCTTTGAATAGGACCCTGAAGCTAGGATAAAACTGAAAGTTACTAAGACACCAGATCTTAGGAATAAACTTTCAGAATGTGTTATGTCCCATGAAGCTGGCCAGAACTCTCTGGAGCTCTTCTTAGCTAATGTCACAGTGGTAGGTAGATGTCCTCCTCAGGCATCTGTGAGTTATAGCAGCACCATACACAAGGAATACAATACAGCTCCTGCTGCTGAGAAGAGCACAGTCACTGAGATGTCAATGAGAAACATAGGCGTTCCTCTTGATCAGGAGGAAGTGATCTGAAGTAATAAGGGCCTGTGGTGTGATGTAGACCAGCAGTTGGAACAGCTGTTTAGAGAAGAAGCCGTTGCTCTCTTGCTCAGAGTATTGCAACTCAGAACAGGTTGTTTAGTCAGGGTGTGGTGAGCAGTTTTTAACAGGTCAGCTTTTTCCTACTTCATTCTTCTATGTGTGTATGTGCTCGCATGTATGTGTGTGTGTCTGTGTGTGTCTGTGTGTGTCTGTGTTGTGTGTGTGGTGAGGCAAAGAACATCCAAAGATGCTACTGAGTTCTTTTTGTGTTGACCATCTATCTACTGCTGGGCATAGAGCTTGCCCTTAAGAGTGGCTTGTAAATCCCATGAGACTCCATTGGAGAAAACTAGTTTTTCATTTGCCAGTTGTTATCAATTAGAGGTAACTTCTGGGTTAGGGATGGGGGCTTCCATCCACTTCTCTTGGCCGTGGGACCAATCTGGCATAGACTCATACAGGCCCTGTGCATGCTGCCACAGTGTGTGTCAGTTCATATGTACATGAGTCCTGCTATGTATCCTTTGTGCCCCCCATCTCCTCTGGCTTTTACAGTCCTGCCTCCTCTTCCGTAAGGTTCCCTGAGCCCTGAGGGAGGGAAATGATGGCGACCTCCTGCTTAGAACTGAGTGTTCAAGCTCTCTCACTTTCTGTACAGTGTCTGGCTGAGACTCTCTGTATTTGTTCCCATTACTGCAGAAGGAAGCCTCTGTTTAGTCAGGGAACTTATTTATTTGCTTTATTCTTATTTTTAATTTTTTTTTAGCCTATGGGTCCTTTGTGTATTTATTATGGCTTCCGATTTTGTTGTTGGTTTTGTGGGATTCCTATGTGTGTTTCTGTGTCTATATGTGTTTCTCATGGTCTTTCTTTGGCTCTTTTTCTTCTGTTTTGTCCTATTCCAATTTGTTTTATCTTCGTTTATTATTCTTTAAATGCCTATTTGTCAGAAAGAGGGTAGATTCAAATGGGAAGATCTTAAAGAAGGATGGGAATCATAGTCAGAATATATTGTATGAAAATAGTTTATTTATAATAAAAGAAAAATAGAAAATAAATATCTTGTATATATCAAAGTATATATATGAAGTTATAATAAAGATTAAATAAATAAAAATTAAAAATATTTTGTGGGCCTGTGAGATAGATAGTTCAAGGCCTGAGTTCAGTACTCAGAACCCACAGAGGGGAGAGAGAACCAACTCCTGCAGGTTGTCCTCTGACCTCCATACATGCTTCATGGCGAATGCAGACACAAACACACACACACACACACACACACACACACACACACACACACACACACGCCGGGCAGGGACAGCTGTGTATTTGGAGATCTTCGTTGAAAATTGAGAAGTCAGTAATGCTCATTGTGGGGCTCTTGATGCTCAGTGCTTTTTAGCTAGTCTTGCAGGTGGCAGCCAAGTGAAGGAAAAGCTGCGGTATTCCTATAGGAGAGAGATGTTGGTTGCTCTTGGGAATGTTAGAAATCATGAGTATAATTGGTGACACAGGATCAGCATACCTCAGACACAAAGTGCTTGCTGCTGTATGGGGGATGGCTGACAGACCTGCATGAGCAGGGCAGCGTCCGCTGGGTTGCCTTGGTCACCTTGCCAGAGCTGTGCTTGTGCCACTGTCGACTTTACTAGGCTTTGGACAGTGTTCGTTCTGCTGGTCTTCCAGCTTTACTGCTTGGGTTCATTTATCTTAACCTCTGTTTAACCTGGGATGTTTATCTTGTGGTCAAAGTGTAATCAACTTTCTAAATTTAATATAGGAAGTGTTAATCCATCTATTAGCCTTGCTATACATGTATATTACTGAGAAATAAACAACAGTAGCAAGTTGATTGCTTAAGAATATTTTGATAGCAGTGAATTGGGTTGGGGCCATTAAATATAGAAGCTAGGTCAGACAGGAACCAATCAGAAGTTCACTGTGTAAACAGAAACTATTACTCTGTGATTTTTTTTTTTTTTTTTTTTTGGTTTTTCGAGACAGGGTTTCTTTGTGTAGCCCTGGCTGTCCTGGAACTCACTCAGTAGACCAGGCTGGCCTCAAACTCAGAAATCCGCCTGCCTCTGCCTCCCAAGTGCTGGGATTAAAGGCGTGCGCCACCACTGCCCGGCGATTTTTTTTTTTTTTTCATACACTTCTTATAAGAGGTTTAAGTTGCAGGTGTGAGTGGTTCTGGAAATTGATCAGGATTCAAGCTGACTTGCATGCTCTTTAGTAAAGAAAATAGAGGAACGCACATGACAAAGGCTTTCTCTGGCTAAGTCTGTTTTCTGCTTTTGGAATCTATTGATACAATACTAATTACTATTCTGGAAGCATTTCATCCTGGAGAGAAGTTAACCCCGTCGTCTAAATCTGCCTCTCTGTGGTGTAGACACTTGGCAGCTGGCATTGTGGGTTTCTTTCCCAATGACACGGATACATTGTCCCAGTTTGCTTTCTTATTACTGTGATAAAACACTAAAAAGATCAGCTTGGGGAGGAGAAGGTTTATGGAGAAATGCTGCTTTCTGGCTGGCTTCCATCCCCTGCCTTGCTCGGCTTCCTTTCTTAACCTTGGACCCAGGGATAGATCCGTCCCACAGTCAGCTGGGCCCTCTCACATCAATCACAGGCATTTTTCCAATTGAAAATCACCCCCCAGATGACCCTGCCTGTGTCAGTTTGATAAAGATTAAAAAAAAAAAAAAAGACCCAGCCAGTACTCACATATCATACCTCTGCTGGGCACACAGCCCCCTGCTGTACCTCACCGTACACTTTCCCTGTGTATTAAAATAGAGCTGTGAACAGCCTAGTGAAGGACAGCATACCTTGGCACAGGCATGTCTTTGCTTATCAGACTAATTCATCTATGATACAGTGTGATACAGTCTACAAATAACACCTTACATCTTAAATTAGAGTTCAAGCCCTTTCAATTTACAAAGTTTTCTTAAGTTTATTGTAGAAAATAATTTAAAGTATTACAATTTTTTCTCAAATCTCTTTAAGCATAGGGGTCATTTAATTGCTGAGCTCTTGGAAGTTTCCTTTCTCAGCTAGCTTACAAGGGGTGGTGGTAGTTTGCAGGAGAGTTGTTGGGGATGGGGGGGGAGGTCATTTACTAGGAGCCTGGGGACCTAGTGCCAGGAGCTTGCCCTGCCCTGTGATGTACCTCAGAGCTGACGACCAGTCACAGTGACTGAGTTAGTTCACGTGGCCATGGCTGTGTTGGGAAAATCCTGCAAAATGACATGTGATTTTATTCTGTCCTGTTTGTCCCTGTCCAGGAAGGGTATGGATTTGCAGGCTCTTTGATAGTATAGTGAAGGGTTAGGTTTTTATAGCTATGGGTCCTGCCTTAGCTGCTAAGGCATTTCACAGGCCACTGACTGTAGTCAGCAGAGTCCTTGGGGGTCTTAGGCAGGGGATGCTGCAACGAGTTCTTTAGATTAAGTCTATGGCTAAGTCTTCTGGCAGTATTTTTTGGGGAGGGGGGTGCTATGTGCTATGTGAGGTTCCGGGGACCTGAGATGGCGTTCTGATTGTTTCCTGGGCAGTGTTGGAGAACACAGACTTGCTCATGACAGAGTTCACTGCTAATGAAGACACTGGTGCTCAGAGCCCAGTGTTGGCTCCAGTCAGCCGAAGGAGCTAGTGATGACCCCGATTTGCAGATGTGGTGAGCACAACTCTGGTGACATATTTCTCTTAAAAATATGAGACCCAGGCTGGAGAGATGGCTCAGCGGTTGAGAGCACTGACTGCCCTTCCAGAGGGGTTCAATTCCCAGCAACCACATGGTGGCTCACACCCATCTGTAATGGGATTTGATGCCTGCTTCTGGTGTGTCTGAAGACAATGACAGTGTTCCCACATACATGAAATAGATAAATCTTTAAAAAAATAAAACAGACCCAGAAGGCTTTCTACTGGTAATTTAAATGTAATTCTCAATGTGGCTGTAGGCTTTTGGTGAGATGCCATAGCTGGCTTCAGATCTGTGAGATGTCCTGTGAAAGGGCAGCTCTGCTACAGAGAGCCACCACTAATGGTTGGCAACGCCTGCATGAGGCTTGCTCTGGATAAAGAGGAACTTAGACTGTCTTGTCAGCTCAGTAAACAAAAGTGCCCAGCACTGGGAATACCAGCGAGGTGTTTCTGTCTTGATAGGGTGGCAATGGAAATGGACAGAATCGAGAAGAAGTGGGCATACCTTAGTAGTAAGGCCAGAAGGCCGTGTTGGGGAGTGGGGGGGGGGGGATGTACTGTGATTAAGAGACATCAAGGCAATTTCCTAGATTTTTCATCTTTGTTCCATCTAAGTATTGACCAGGCCTGACTGCTTTAGGCTCTGGATGGGTCCAGTTAGGGTGGCACACATGTTGACATGTCTAAGAGGAGGGAAAGAAATGGGTTCCATTTGACCTGTGCTGTTGACCATGTGCTCAGCAACTCAAGAGCTCCTCCTCACCTGCCCTCCCTCATCTCCTCCAGCCTCTGAGAATGATTTGCTCAACAAACGCCTGAAGCTCGATTATGAAGAAATCACTCCGTGTCTTAAAGAAGTAACTACAGTGTGGGAAAAGATGCTTAGCACTCCGGGAAGATCCAAAATTAAGTTTGACATGGAAAAAGTACACTCAGCTGTCGGACAAGGTAAGCTTTATCAGTGGCTATCGGGCTGGCCTCACCCCTGTAATGACTAGAAGGGTGGGACAAATCTAGTTTCTGTGGTAGTCCTGCCTTTTCATCTTTACCCACTGTTTTTCCAGATGTCTCATTGGTGGTGTGGGTTCCATCACCTTTCATGATCATAATTACATTAATTAAAATGCCCGGAACACCAGACACCAACCAGTATGTCTATAGGAAAACCCGAGGCTTAGTTGCCTGTGAACTGACTAGGTGAAGGGTTAAGTAGGAAACTAAAAAGGACCTGTGTGGTTTCTTGCTGGTTGGGTTTCCTAGGGAAACAATAGAGTGTTCAACTCACCTTCCAGGTCCTGTTTCTACCTCAGTCCAGGTAAGTGTCTTGTGGTGTAATCTTAAGCACACACCCTCTCTGGGCGAGCCCCACTTTACACATTTTTACATTTTTCTAAAAAGATATATTTCATTTTTAAGTGTGTGTTTGTGTGTGTGTGTGTGTGTGTGTGTGTGTGTGTGTCTGTGTCACATCCACTGACATCAGAGGCTTTGTATCCCTGGAGGTAGTTATGGGTGATATTACCTCATCCTGAAATCCAACTGAGGTCCTCTGCACAAGCAGTAAATGCTCTTAACTGCTGAGCCTTACTCTGTACACGTGGAAGACATGGTTGGTGATGCTAGCTGTGAAAACTAAGTGACCTGAGACCCCCAGAGCATGGCACATGTGACTAAGATGGCTTGGCAGGTGGGACATACGGTTGCCTTCCACTGTGGTCTGCCAGTTGGGATTTGCTTTGTCTGTGAAAAGGTGAGTGCAGAACTTGAGATGAATCTGGAAATGTTTCCAGCAGTTTGTCATGCTTGAAAACCATGTGAGTCTCTGTTTCTCGGTTTGGGTTTTTGTTTGTAATTGTTACTAGTTACTTGGGTTGATGCACTAAGTAATAGGTCTGCCATTTTCATGGCTATACATCATGCTTACCTTGTCCTCGGCTGTTCCTGTCCCCTAGTGCCCTCTCTGCCTCTGCACGTCTCTCACCTCTGCACGTCTCTCACCTCTGCACGTCTCTCACCTCTGCACGTCTCTCATTGTGTCTTGCTCTAATTCATTTTTACTATGTATTACAAAAATATCAATCTGGCAGTGGTTCTAGGAGGGTGAAAGTGCTTGTTACACAAGCCTGTCACCCAGAATTTGACCCCATGGAGCCCACATAAAGGTGGGAGGAGAGAACCATCTGCAAAGCTATCCTCTAATTTCACATACATGTCATGGAACACATCCACACATACATTGTACACACATGCACACACACACAATAAAAAAATGAAACACATCAGGCTTTTATAGATTAGAAGTTCTTAAAGAATGAAAAACTCATTTTGGAGGTTAATTTCGATGAGTTTTGGTGTGGACGTAACGCAGTAGTGGTTTCTCTTGCTGTGGGCCTTAGTAAACACTGCTGTGAGCTGGGAGCCTCCTGAGAGGTGTCTGCTTTCAGTGCTACTGAGTGCTGCTCACTCTAGTTCTGAATGGGGGTTCCAGGTGTGTGCGTGCATCACAGGACCTTCCTGTGGCAGAGTTCGTTGTCCAGAGGAAGCAGCTACATGTGTTAGCCGTTGCTAAGGTTGCTAGAACTACACAATGTCTCTATCATATTCTTCTTATAAAAATAAAGATTTATTTATTTTTATTTTTTATATGTATGGTTTTTTGCCAAGATGTATGTCCCTATACCATGTGCATGTTTGGTGCCCAGAAAAGATCAGAAGAGGGTGCCAGATCCCCTCGAACTGGAGTTACAGATAGTTGTGAGCCACCATGTGGATGCTAGGAGTCGAACCCGGGGTCTCTGAACGAGTAGTTAGTGTCTTTAGCCACTGAGCTGTCACTGCAGCTCTTTTAGCCATTATTAAAAACTTTTTACTGTGTTGAGAGACACCTCAGTGGATAAAGCACTTTCTATGCAAGTGTGAGCACTGGAGTTCACATCCCCACAATCATGTAAAACTTACACAGGTGTGGTAGCTACCCATAAGTCCAGCACCCAAGAGACAGAGATGGGTTCCCTTGGAAAGCTGGCTAGCCAGACTAGCCGGACCTCCAGGTTCAGTGAGAGACCCTGGCTCGAAGTAAAGTGGAGAGTTATTAGGGAATACACTTGATGTCAACTTTGGGTCATTATATGCATATGCCTGAACCTTTACACACACACACGGACACACACAGACACACATACACATATATCCAAACAACCTCATGCAAATAATTAAATAAGGAAATAAACAACACCTTCTACTGAGCTGAGCTGTGACAGGGTGGGTTTTAGTACTCATGGGTAGGTATTGCTGGTTTTGACCTTCCCTTCCTATGGATTAAGGAGACTTAAGTGACAGTGTCCTTGGGACCTCAGCTTGCAGGAGTTCTCACCATCATGCCAAGCTGCCTCTGGTTGAGACATGTTCTGTATAGGCAACAGCTTCCAGTGTGACTCTGGGTTGGTGTCTTCATCTCTTTGTATTTCTGCCTTCTGATTGACAGCAGGAGAAAGCCTGGCCCAACTTGATGTTGTTGCACTGTTGTGTAGTTCTGGTGGGTTTTACACCCATCATGGCTGCTGCAGTGGGACCTTTGCAGGGGCACTTGCAGGTGGCTGTTAGAAAATGTAGAAAGCAGAGGTGAACACACCCATCTTTCCCTTCTCACAGTAAACTAGACAGGGTTCTGCAGGAGCACCTCAGAAGCAATTGCTTGCTCTCTGGCACTGCTCAGGGGTCTGGTACCTGGACATGTATTTCCTGTTCCATGTGGTAAGAGGGCTGATGTAGAATTCCTTTTGACCTCTCTGACTTGGCCTGAAGGAATGAATGCATGCACACGGCAGAGGCTTTGTCATCCACTTTCAATACCTGAAGACTTAGCATCTTCAAACAAATGGCCACTGCTCATCTGGGTCTCAGAGTTTTTAAATAATCCTAAACCATAATTTTGACTTTTCAAGCAGAGGCTAAGTCACCTCAGAGACCCTGAGAGAGAGGACAGTCCTTGTGTGGGTGTCAAGACCTTTCCTCCTAATAGAAATTTAGAAATTGTTCCAAGTTGCCATGAGAAGAGAGTAGCAGATTAAGGAGTCGACTTGGGAGAAGAAAGAATTCTGTGGAATATTAAGTCATCCAACGTTGGATGTGCATCAAATGATTTCTTGGAAGAAAGCAAGGTACTGAATCCTAGAAGCAAGTAGCTGGCTTCTCAGATGTTGTTGTGAGGTAACCACAGACAGTGAACAGAATGTGTTAGATGCAAACTCCACTTACCTTTGACCCAGCAATGCAATTCCCAGAAACCTTTTCTAGAAATTAACCAGCCACGAGTTAAACAACAAGAGTGCTTATTGTGCTGTTTTTAGTAGCTGAAACCAAAATGAAGTGAGCCAGCCACGTGACCATTCCATGCCTGTTCCAGGGAAGCAACACAGTAGGCATTTCCGTATGTTGAGAGTATTACAGTACTCACGGTCTCACTCACAGTTGGTACTTTCTCTACATAGAGAAACTCCCACAATGCATTTGCAGATGTCTAGGTTATAGGTAGGTGAATGTGCCTCCTGGGTTATTTGACACAGTCCATATACCAGCCCTTGTTCTGGTAATAAGTCCTAGTCTTTTCTTTTTCCTCTTTTCCCTCCTCCTCTCCCTCCCTTTCTGAAACATTCTGTTTTGAATGTTGGAACTTCGTGTCTACTCTGGTTCTGGGTGGATATTTGCTTTTCGTCTTTATACCCTTTGCATTGGCAGAGTTTTTTTCCTTTACAGCAATAAGCATATATTACTTTTCACATTAGTGAAAATAAACAGTTGTTCACATATGAGCTGAACATATGAGCTGAGTGAACAGTCTCTTGCCTAGCCCGAATTCCCTGCCTTCTGGCCTTCTGTGACCAGGTTTCCTCTTGAGTTAGGAGTAAAGCAAACCTGAGCATGGGGACAGTGTTCTAGGACATTCTAAGCAAAAGCACTGAGTCTGACTGCATGACTTCTTGCTTTACACCTCAGACTCAGCTAGTCCTGTAATATGAGAGTATCTGGTATTGTCGGGTAACATGGCTAGTGTTCTCTTCCTCCCCCAAATAATTCTGACAAGATAATGGGAGTGATTTAGTAATAAGAGGAAATTGGACATCTCCTAACTTGGGAAGAATTTCCAGTTTGACCGAAAGTGTTTGGTGAAAAAGCCCCTCTATAAATCACTCAACATGCTGACTGTGTTTTAGTTCACTGTTTGCTTTTAGTCAGTATCTAAAGTATTACAGATTTATTCCTTCTCTACCTACCCTCCATCCCACTTTTTTTTGTATGTGTGTGCGCACACACACACACACACACACACACACAAGGCAGATCTGAGCAGGCATGGTAAGAAAGGAGAGAAGAAACAGAAGTGATGTAAGAAAACAGCCATTAGGATACGCTAGTTTCCTGTTGCTACCATAACAAATAACTACAGATTTGGTGGCTAAATCAGCACAAGTTTGCCAGCAAGATCATTCAGTGTGTAGACATTTGTATGTAGGCATGATGAACTGAGTTCAGTCTCTGGATTCCACAAGAAGGAGAGAACCAATTCCTGAGAACTGTCTTCTGACTGCCACAGAAAAGTTTTTATGAAGGAAAAAAAAAGACGTGCACAGGTTCAAGTTACACAAAATTCCATATTGGAAAGGGGAAGTGGACATGAAGTCCTACCTTTAACCAAGATGCTATTTGCAATTGATAGCTGCTGGTGCAGGGGAATTCAGTTTTCTCCAATGGTGTATTATTAGTCAAGTTCCAGGACAGGCCCATGCTCAGAAGCAAGTGACCAACACAAAACAGACTCCATAGGTTTGGAGAGGTTTTTGTTTGCTATGGCTTGTTATTTCTTAGCTTCTTTTTTTTTCTTGTTTTATTTCAGCAGGTGTGTGTGTATGTGTGTCTGTCTGTCTTTTTACTTTGAGAGAGAGATGAAATTAGGGGAGTGTGAGGTTCTGAGAGGAGTTGGAAGGAAAGAATATGATCAAAATGGATTGTGTGAAACATTTAAAACCTGGGGAGTAAAGTGTGAGTGACAATAATCTGTGTGTGTTGTACACATGTGCAGAATTATCACATTATACCGTTAACCTTGAGAGTTACAAAACACAGGCACACATTCTTTTCTTTGACAGTTGTGAAGTCCAAAGTCAAGATGTCAGCCTCATTGTGCCTGGGCCTTTCCAGCTTCTGCTGGCTGTAGCACTTCTTGACTCGGAGCTGTCTTCTGCTTCCATGGGCACACTGACTTCTCTTCAACTCCTCCTCTGGGTGCTATTGTCAGGGACATTTGTCTCAAGATACAAAGCCCAGGTTCTAGTCATAGTGACATCATCCTCAGTCCTGACTTTAGCCACATCTGCAGAAGCAAGGCCGTTTTTCAAGGTTCCGGGGGTTAGGAGATGGGTGTATCCTTCAGAAGCCCACTCTTCATTCCCTGCTCAGTCATCAAGCTAATGCTGAGATACACATTTAGAGAAAGTGTGGAGTGCAGTTACATAGCACAGGGACCTTCCTTACATTTCTCCCAAGTTGATACACAGGATAGAGAAAAACTAACAGCCGTCCAAGGTACCCTGATCACTCAAGATACCTTCCTTCTGGTTGGTTCTCTTCCCCGTTCCTTCATCTTTAAGGTTTGGCTTGCAGGAAGGAGGCTGTGAGATCTTGATTGCTGAGATGCAAAGGGCCAGCTCTCTTTCACCTGAGCTCCACCTCATTTTGATTCTCTCCCTGTTCTGAGACGCGTGCATCCTCCCTTCACTTCCTTAGAGTACAGTTAGCTGGCTTCAGGTTGGGTCACATCAGGTCAGGATTTCTGCCATAACTCCAGGTTTGTCCTTTGCAGAGTCTAGTCAAATCATAATGTATCTTCTGAAAGCTAGAAAGGCAAGAGGGTAAAAGCCGAGGAGAGGGGGCAGTGAGAGATGGGAGAGGGGTGAATGCAGCATATTCTGTTACTTTTTGAAACATTCATGGTGGAACAAGAATCACAGTAATTGGAAACTAGGGGATGGCATAGTACATGAAGTGCTTGCCTTGCAAGTGTGGGGCTCAGTCTGGTTCCTGGGACCCCTATGTAAAGCTGGGAGCAATAGTGTATGCTTGGAGACCCAGCGCTCGGAGGCAGAGATAGGTAACTCCTGAGGCTGACTGGTCAGTTGATGCAGCCTAGAGAGTGACCATCTCTGACTAACTAAATGAGAGAATGGTGTTCCTGAGGAACGACACCTGAGCTTGTCTTCCAGCCTCCATGTGCACACGTACCCACACCCACAAGCACATGTGTGCACACCCACAAGCACATGTACCCATACCCACATGCACATGTACCTACACTCACATCCACATGTGTGCACACCCAAAGAATTTGCAGAAATGAAACTTTTAAAAAAATAATCAATGAGCTGAATTCTGTGTATAAAGCCTCGTTTAATATTTTCTACTCTTGTTAAAGGTGTGCCACGTCATCACCGGGGTGAGATCTGGAAGTTTCTAGCTGAGCAGTTCCACCTTAAACATCCATTTCCTAGTAAACAACAGCCAAAGGATGTGCCCTACAAAGAGCTCTTGAAGAAGCTGACCTCCCAGCAGCATGCCATTCTCATAGACCTCGGTGAGTCTGCCCCACCCTGGAGACGTCTGGAGAGGCTGTCCAGGTCATTCAGTGATCACAGAGGCCCTCTGAGAGCAAAGCTGCTCCTTTTTTACATGGTGGCTGCCTTCCTTGTTGTGGGGTGTGGGGAGGTATTCAGTGGTCATTAAGTCTGTTCACTGAAACATAACTCTGGTTCAGTTTAGTAATTCATATTTCCAAGGGATGGTTTACAGAACACTGAAGGAGCACCCTGGGAAACACACTGGCTTGGATTAGTTACAGGAGAAACACACTAGCTTGGTTTACTTTCAGAAGCATTCTCTGGACTGTGGTGTACAAACAGGACTTGTTAGAATAATTGTAGAAAACAGTGTTTGTAGTTTCATCTTGGAAAGTGGGCAGTGCCTTGTTGCTGGAATAGCTTTTAAGACACAGAAAGAAGGCAGTGTGTTGGATTTGCAGTTGCCATGGGAAAGACTTCGCTGACTTAGAATGTAATTATGTGGAACAAGTGACCCTCTGACTGTTGGTGGCTAAGCAGGAATGGATCCCTGCCTTCCTGCTCACAAGGCCTGTCTCTGCTGTGGGGAGCTGGCTCCCTAGCTGTAGTTCATAGGCTGCTGGCAGAGCCTGTGGTCCTGCTTCCAGAATGCCAGTTCTGGATGCTGGGGATGTCCCCCCAGGACGCCTGTCTTTGCTCAGTGCACTGCACTGGCCCCATTCTGTGAGTAGTTCCACTTACTACAGCCACAGTGGAGAAGGTGAGCTGGATCAGGCAGGAGTCAGAGTTTTGAGCCACACAGAGTAACTTCAAGCTGTCTTCAGGCTACTCTGCAGTGCTGGCTTTGAATGTCATCTGTCCTGAATGAACTGTCCTGACTGTAGCTTCTTCACCTACA